AACATGCTGGAAAGTATTATAGTAAAGCTAATTATTATAAAAACAAACTTTCATCTCCAGCCACTAGTGTTCTGAATTCAAATTGATCTGATAGGTCTCGAGAATAGAGAAGGATTCCCCAATATAGAAACATATACTTTAGATCAAATTCCATAGGAATCTCAGTCTTCCAGCCACCTACCCGTCTGATAATCTATGATGATGAAGAAAGGTTCACAAAGTGAACACCAGATATGGGTCTGGATCTATTTGGCTAATCTGTGATAAGAAAACTGCTTGACCGCTCTGGCTACCCGCCTTCTCATAAATTCGAAGCCAGAAAACAAAATATCCTATTTATCTTTTTCTGAGCAATGTGAAGAAAAAGGGTCAGAGGGATTCGAAAAATCATGGGTGCTAAAGCATATGTATACCAAATTTCAGATGGGCTAGTGCTGATGATGTTCTGGAAATATTTCTGGAACTCAATATGTATGCATTTATATTACTTGATTTTTTTTCATATTTTGCGTATATTCTTCGCATCCTTGGTGCTTCGCAACCTCTGTAAATATATCTTGTGTATATATGCTTCACATCTTTGATGCTTCGCAATCCGTGAATATATCTTGTGTACATATGCTTCACATCTTTGATGCTTCGCAATCCGTGAACATATTTTGTGTACATATGCTCTGCACCTTCGGCGCTCCGCAGAGTGTGGACACTATTTGTTTTCATATCTTGTGTACATGCTCCGCTTCGCTTCACAGAGTGTGAATACTATTTGTTTTCATATCTTGTATACATGCTTTGCTTTACTTCACAGACTGCAAACACTATTTACTTTATGATTTGTATACCATCTGCTCACTTATTGTATTCACAATTTGCTTACCGCTCCACTTTGTTCCGTATATAGTAAGCTTATTTGCTTTCAAAAAACCCATGCTAAATAAAATAACAAGTTAGTATTTATAAGATTCCAAAGAGTATAGCTAAATAAGATTACAAAATAGTATTTTTGAGATTATGGAATCTTCAGATAGGCAAGAAATATAATTAGTAATTATAATGAGCTAGAGATGTGAGAAATGGAAAAAGAATACAAAGCAATATAGCAAGAAGGCACTGGGAAGGCTACCACTCCTTAGTGGAAACTGCCTATGTCCCCCCCATTTAAATCACAATGATTAAATATTTATTTTCTATACTAATTTTTAGAAATTGTACTATTTCTTTAGATTTTTTTTTTGGGTTTAAATACTTTGCAATTATTAAATAATATTATTTTAGTTTTGGGTTGATTTTTTTGCTTTTAAAAACATTAAGACAATGATAGATGATTTGATTTTTCTAGTATTTGATAAATTATTTTTTTTTATTCTTTATATTATATTCTCTTTGATTATTAATTATTCTATTTTTATTTTTTTAAATTCTTTTTAAAGTGGTGGTTTGATCTGTTATAAAGGTTTTTTTATTTATTTAATTTTTTTTTTAGTGATTAAACAGGGTGTATCACAAGATTTATTTTTAATTTTACTTTTTTATAAGTTTTTTTTTGGTAATTTCTTTTAGGTTAGATTGTAAGGTAAAGTTTTTTATTCAATTGTTTTTATTATTTAGATTGCTTTATGGTATAATTACTTTTTTTTAAAATTTAGGTTTTCTAATCAATGTTAATAAAATTAATTGCAATTCAGTTTTCAGTTTATTACTCAGTTAGAATTAGTTTTATTTAAATTCAGAATTAATTCAGTCTCAAAAAAGTATTTATTAAAATAAAATTAATTCTAATTTCTAATTTCACTTTCTAATCTCCTGATAATTTTAATTAATATATTTCTTATTTAGTAGAGGTCTGAATCGGTCAAAAATTTTGTATTCAATTAATCAACTCATTCATAAAATTTATAATTAATTATTATTGTTGATTAATGATGATCATTCAAATTTTCCAGATCATCCGAATGAAAGGACGAAATCGTCAATACATTAATTAAAACAAAAATATATATTTTGAACTTATCTTTATTATCAACAACAATAATAAATTATATTGTACTAATTATTCCAACTATTATTTTTTTGCTAATTACTATAATCAGATTTCTTCTGGAGGAAACCATATTAACATTTCGTCAAATAGATGAAACTGGCTATAATTCTTTAACTGGTTAAGAACCAGTTAAAAATATTCGTTATCCGGTTAAAATCCAGTATTATAAATTTGGCTGAGTTAGACAATATTTTGCAATTATAAAATCTTAATTCTGGCCGGAAATTGAATTTCAGCCAGAGCTATATTTTAACCAGTTAAAAAAAATCATTAACCGGTTAATATGTTAACCGCTTTAACCGGCACTGAATTAATTAACCGTACCGTTCAAGTTATCATGGTTATAAAAATAGTTATGTCTTACGAAAATGATATGCAGTTAATTGGCAACGGATAAATTCAGTGCCGGATCAACTTTGCATACTCATTGTGTTTCTAGAAATCTAATACGGATAAATTTCGGCTAAATTTTTGTAAGTCCAAAAGTAAGTTGGTTACTATTACATTTGTTTTAACGTTAAATTTATCCGCATTTATTTATTTTTTTTTATATATATAAATAACCTTCGTTAGACTTGTCATCTTCCTTCAAATCGTTAAAAAATCAAAGGAAACAAGTTAATTGATAATCAATATTTATTTTATAAATATACTTTCATAATAAACTTTATAAAACAATACAATTTATGAAAATACCTTTTGAATTAACATTAAATAAAAAAGAAATGCAACACGCAAAAATTCCAAAAGTTATTATTATCGGTGCAGGTC